AGCACCTTTCATTCAGAAGCACTCCTTAAAAGTTGACTTTTTAGAAATGGATGAATTGAGCTTTTAAAGGAATACACGGCTAAGGTTAGGGGGAAGGTGTTTTTGTGACTGGCGAGCAGAACCCAGACCTGCTCAGTCTCCACTCAGTTATCTCTCCATACCACCCTACCACTTTCTTTCTTTCTAGCTCGGCACACGAATTTGCATTGTAAAATCAACCATGGTCCATGAAAGAGGAGTATCTTGATTACTTTTGTCATGTTAAAAATTCACAGCCAGAATAAGTGGGAGCCTCAAGTCTTTCCTCCACTCAGGTGCTCTCTTATGTCCTCACTAGACCTCAAACGGCACAAAGGAGACCGGTTTTGTTGTGGTGGTGGTTGTCAAATTCAAATTTATTTTTATCAAATGTTTTTTGTTGAGATATAATTGACATAAAACATTACGTTAATTTCAGCTGTACAACATAATGATTTGGATATTTGTATATATTATGAAATGATCACCACAGTAAATCTAGGTAACATCCATCACCATACATTGTTACAATTTTTTCCTTATGAGAACTTTTAAGATCTACGTTCTTTTTTTTTTTTAAGATTTTATTTATTTATTTGACAGAGAGAGACACAGCGAGAGAGGGAACACAAGCAGGGGGAGCAGAAGAGGGAGAAGCAGGCTTCCCGCTGAGCAGGGAGCCCAATGCGGGGCTTGATCCCAGGACCCTGGGATGATGACTTCAGCGGAAGGCAGAAGCTTAACGACAGAGCCACCCAGGCACCCCTAAGATCTACTTTCTTAGCAACTTTCAGATATACAATACAGTATTATTAACTATAGTCACCATGCTCTGCATTACATTCCCAGGACTTACTTATTTTATAACTGGAAGTTTGTACCCTTTTGAACCTCTTTGCCTATTTCACCTACCCCACCCCCCCGGAAGTGATTCTCTATTATTTTTCACTGTGTACCCAGTATGTGGTAAAGCGCCTGGGATAGAAGGTACTTGATAAAATTTGTTGAATGATTCATGAACCCACTACTTCTTACCTAAAAGACTCTGATAAGGGGGAAATTAACAAACCATGCTCTCTCATTTGTTCAACTGAGCCTAGTCTCTCTTTAACAACCAACAGAATTAGCAATCCCAAAACTACTAGCCACCCTGACATTTATACCACACTCCCCTTCTCTGGGACCTCTTTTTAAAAACTTCGTGTTTTGGGGAGGGGGCAAAAAACGTTCACGCTGAGACTGACTTCTCTTGTATATCTAAGACATTCTTTACTCTCTGCCAGACCTTTTCCTAAGCCTTGCCGAAAAGGAGATTATCTCTGTAATCCTGTCATACGTAATGATTCCCTTTTCCCTCATTTTTTTCCAGCTTCCCACCCATTCTTAGTCAAGCCCTACCTAACTTCCTAATCCTGTTCAGTGTCTCTCAGGATTTCTTGACACAATTTTAATGATGCTAAGCCCTGAAGCTGGACATCAAAGGAATAAAGCATGAATAGTATCTATTCTGTCATAGATTTATTCAGTGTTCTGTGTCCTAGATTTGGGTGTGTGCATGTGTGTGAACTGCTTTACTTTCAGCCAGACACAAAGCCCATGTTGAAAAAGCATAAATCATTTATAAATTTGCTAACCCCCATTTTTTACCTTTATTCAAATAAATCAACAGAATTCGCTCTATTTGAATTTTATTCACCTGTTTATTTATTTTATTTTATTTCATTTTATTTTATTTTTACTTGAGTATAGTTGACACGCAATGTTACATTAGTTTCAGGTGTACAACATAGTGATTTGACAAGTTTATATATTCTGCTACGTTCACCACAAGTATAGCTGTCATCTGTCCCATTACATCGCTGTTACAGTATCATTGACTATATCCCTAGTCCCACGACTTATTCACTCCAAAACTGGAAGCCTGTATCTCCCACTCCTCTTCACCCTTTTTGCCCAACCCCTCTCTCCTCTCCCCTCTGGCAACCATCAGCTGTGTTTGTGAGCAAGAGGAGAGGACAGGAGTATGTGCCGAAAAGGTGAGGATAAAATGAAAGGAAAGAGAGAAGCAAGTGAGGATGGCCTGGTAGCAGGCTTGAATCCAGGTGCCTACCTTACCCTATATTCTCTAACATTTCTTCTCTGGCACAACTATGAGCTGGAATTTACACAGATGTAGACAATTATGCCCCTGAAACTTGAAAGTTGGCTTCCAAAGCAAGTTTATCCCATTGTCTATGCAGATGCCATTTGAGTGAGAATTTAGAAAATTCAGGAGTTTAGAAAATGACCTCCTCCAGCCCTGCCAGAGCCCTTCAAGCTCATAGCATTTAGAAACCAAAACGAGGCTCTCTGATGGGCTTTGGTGTGTATCCACAGGCAGATTGGGCAGATTTGCCACTCAGCGTCCCGGGCTTGTGTATATTCTTTTCTTCCCGATGTCCTCCTTTTCCAAGAGCAGATAGAGCCCCTTCAGTGAGTGAGCACCACGCCAGCGGACAGAGAAGGGCACACTTCTCCCTTGGTGGCCAAGTGGCCATAAACCATCCGAGGCCGCTGTTGTCCTAAATGTGGTTCCGAGCTCCCGGACTCAAGTAGAGGGAATAATAGTGCCCTGAAGCTGTCTTAGGCACACACTGATCCTGGTTCTCTAAGAAGAGCGAGTCCCTGAGTTACATGGTCCAACAATGGAAAGCGAGTCCTGCCCAGAGTTCTGTCAGGTGGCTCCCAGGTTATACACAGCTTTAGAAAATGGATACCCTGGGTTCAGATAAGGCGATCAAAGGGGAGCTTTGCAGAGCGTGCCAGGCTCAAGTCAGTGACAGAAAAAGCAAACTTTTGACCTTCTGGGTGTTTCTAGTTCACCAAAGAAACTCAATCACACACCAAGGAATTGATTTTACAAAAGGCTGATTTGAAGCTTGGCTCCCCGGATCCCATACTAAAATTCCTCCCTGGTGCTTTTTTCAGGAAGGCAGAGAGAAGTGAAGAGAAGTGAGAGTGAATCCAGTGCACTTTGACAGCTGCTGAGTTCATTCCCTGGCTTTCGGGATTTCCCACCCTACTAGGAGGAAGGATATAAGTAGTTTTCAAGGAGTGGGTGGAAAGCATTTTCCCTAATTCAGGGTTCAAACATGGCGTCTGTAGGTTCCAGGAAAATGAACACTGAAGTGCTGGTGTGTATCCGCTTATAGCTTCCTTGATTAGTTTATTTTTGTAAAAGTGTCCGTAGCTTTCTTCGGATCCTCAGAGAGGTCTGTAGACCAAACTAGGTTAAGAACTGTTGCCCTGTGTCCTACATTATTTCCCATTCCCCTGGCATTGGGGACAGAGACCCTGAAGGTAGAGGTCCAGTAGTGGGTGATGAACCGCCACTGTGGTCAAATTCCCTGAATAAGGAAACTGATTATCCCATTGGCTCCCTCCCGAATGACATTATACCAACCTCTACTCCGACAGTAACTGAAATGAGAAATCACTCCCTCCACCACAGTCTCACTCCGGCATCATTTATTCCTTTCATAACACTCAGTATATTTCATTATAACCTTCTCCCTACCTCTTGCCCCCATCCCAGTACGAATAGGCCTGCTTCGGCCATCCTGCTCTGGACAGACTCCTTATCCTTATCTGCTTATTCTCGGCAAAAGAGCCTTGACTAAAATCACCTGAGTACATCCTGTTCTTGTTTCTATTCTTAACAATACCCAAAGGGATTATTATAATCCAGGACTATATAAAGGCATAAAAAGGATTGAGATCGCTGAGCTTAGCTAAACATTGACTCCTAAGTAACAAACCATAAACAACATCCATCTCTATTACGGGGCGTTGTTCCGATGTCAGCAGAATTGGTGAAATCCTCGGGCAGGCCAACTTGAGAAGGGACACGTGTCCATGGCCTAAACTCTTCCTGTTACTATTTCTGTTGTTGACACTTTTCCTAGCCCGCTCTTGGCCCACCCCTAACTACTCCGTTCCTTATGTCAGTATTAATATGATAATTGGAAAGAATTATCAGTCCCTTTTTTCCCATTCTGCAACTTGTAAAAGTTCAGACTATGTAAAATAGAGAATCTTCTATGTAAATCTTCAGACTATGTAAAATAGAGAATCTTCATCCAGCACAGCATTGCACCGATAGTACCATCTTTCCTATTTTGCTAATACTCTAGGGTGTCACTGAATTGATCATCCAGGAGAAATGCTACACCACGACCACGGGTGTAGACCGGGATCATCCAGGCAAACCGGGACATGGTCCCTGCACCCTGCACAGAACCATGCGGTGCTCAGTGATTCGTTCTTTTCTCTCACGCACAACTTGCATCACCTGCTTCATATTGGATCTCTCTCCCAGCTAAGGCGGAAAAGGTAGAATACGCTCTGGAGCAAGAAGATAACAAATCCCAAGTTAGGAACTCCCTGAAGAAAGAAATCGCCAATTTGCGGAAGTCAGGAACAAGGCTGCTCCCCGCCTTACATTATTCCATAGTCCTTTGCGGCAGCCCCCAGCTGCAGCCTTGCTCTTCAACCATCTCACATTCCCTGACATGCCCACTAGGCCATATTACAGTTAATTCCCTGACTTGGCTCCACAAATTGCATATAAATTTAAAACATCCTTCAGGAATCATGTAATCTAAAAGACAACCACTGAGAGGCGCCTGCATGGCTCAGTCGGTTAAGCGTCTGCCTTCAGCTCCATGATCGCAGGGTCCTGGGCTCGAGTCCCATATCGGGGGCGGGGGGGGGGGTCCCTGCTCTGAGGGGAGCCTGCTTCTCCCGCTTCCCCTCCCCCTCTGTCTGCCCCTCCCCCCGCACGTGCACGTGCACCTGGGCGCACTCTCTCTCTCTCTCTTTCTCTCCCCCTCGCTCTTTCTCAAATAGATTAAAAAGATAACTACTGAATCTATACCAGGATTACCAGGAGCTAGGGGTGCAAGAAAAACCAGCCTCATGCTCATTCTTTCTTCTTTCCACAGATTCGAAACGTGGCAGCAAATCTCTGCGTGGACAGCAAGCATGGAGTCACAGGCACTGAACTGAGGCTGGACATCTGTATCAAGGATGGTTCTGAAAGGACGTGGTCTCATGAACAGGTAGGTCAGCAACCAGAAGTGACAGGAGCAAGCGGGGCTGAGGCAGGCATGGAAGCATAGGGTGAGATCTCTAACCGGGACGGGTGGGACGTGCAGTGGGGTCGGTGCAGAGCTGGACGCCACCAACCAGCTCTGTTGTTCAGTGAATTACTTACCTTCTTGGTTTCTGTTTCCTCTCAGAGCAGCTGTGATAATCAATTGAGATCGTGTACCAAAATGTGCTTTAAATAGTAGAAAGGATGGTAGAAACGTCCTAGGCTTATATTTCCTTTCCCAGAATGGTAGTCTTCAAACCAGGAAAAGCCTGTAGAGTGCTATGTAATCTTCCAACTAAACGTCACAGTTTTACTGAAAGACTCTTTGTTATTCTGTAAGTGTTTTGCGACTTTATCTCATCTTGTTTCCCCTCTGGTGATATATTGAAAAGAATCCTTTACATACCCCTCTTGTTGCTGTAGCAGTCTGTCATCCTACACATGAAAGACAACTTTGAGGCAGTAACAGCCCATCATGGGCTTCCTGGGATACTTTGGAACTATTTATTGCCTTTGATTGAAAAGCATTTCAGGGCAATTCTGTTTATTAAGTGAGTTGCGACTCCTGACCCCCTTTGAAAACTGATGGTCCTTATAACGGACTTTCCTCACAGTGTCATTTGCAAAAGAGAAAAGATAGTGGGTAGAATTGTGTCTGCCCCTTTTTATTTTCTTAATTTTTAATTATGAAAAATCGAATAGGGGGATGCCTGTGGCTCAGTCGGTTAAGTGTCTGCCTTCAGCTCAGGTCATGATCCCAGGGTCCTGGGATCGAGCCCCATATGGGGCTCCTTGCTCCCCAGGGAGCCTGCTTTTCCCTCTGCCTCTGCCTGAAGCTCCCCCTGCTTGTGCTGTCTCTTTCTTTGACAAATAAATAAATAAAATCTTTTTTAAAAATCAAATAGGAAACTATAAAAAATATTATAACACACCTTGGCACAGTCATTACACAGATTGAACAAGTATCTGCAGCTATTGCCATATTTTTTAAAAGAATAAAATATACAGATACAGGTAAAGCCCCTTCCCTATCGTACTCCCCCTCTCCCTCTGCAAAAGGCTACATCCCACGTTCAGGATAGCATAAATTGCCTGTGCTTTGTTTCCAGAATTTTCCATAATGCCTCTCTTATGAAAATCGGAAACAGTAGACAAGCAGTTTCCAGTAAGGCTTGAGTTTTCTCCTATAGCTAGCATCCTCAAGGACCCATCTTGTATAGGAAACTAGTGAAGACAAACGATGCCCAGCCTAGGATCTTAAAGAGCTGTTCGGGTATGCTGAGCTACATCATGTCGGCACCTCGCTGGCCTCCCCCCGCTGTCCCATCCGACCCCGCGTGTGGCCAACACCACAGTGCAGAGCAACGTGATTCGGGAAAGCCGCGGGGAACCAAGTGCACAGCACAGGGCAGAATTAACGCCATCAGCCAACGCACCAACACTGCCCCTCCCCGATCGGTCATCTGGCCCTTGCACTCTGATCCACAGCCTCATGGTGTTCCAGAAGGATCGTGGGCCTTGCAGTCAGGCTCACCTAGATTGCAGCCACCTTAACCTGTGTGACCTTGTGAAATTGTTACATCTTTCCAAGCTGGAGTTCCTCCACCTCTAAATAGGGACAGTAATATTCACCCCACAAACAGGTTTATTATGAGAATAAACCGTGTCTACGATATAAGAGCATCTTGCTCCTGTGGTAGGGGCAAAATAAATGTACTTTCCCTTCTGCTTTATGCCATCTCCTCCCCCGGACCACTTTATACTAACACTAAATTAGAAAATTCTCTCAGATCCAAGCTGCCAAAACCAAATACTATTTATCATTCACTCAAATATATCTTGCAGCGAGCAGACACCTATCAGATGGGTTTTAAGGAAGGCTCTGCAGGGGCGCCTGGGTGGCTCAGTCAGTTAAGCGTCCGCCGTCAGCTCAGGTCATGATCCCCGGGTCCTGGGATCGAGCCCCACATCAGGCTCCCTGCTCAGCACGGAGTCTTCTTTTCCCTCTCCCTCTGCCCCTCCTCCCTGCCTGTGCTCTCCCTCTCTCTCTCTCAAATTTAAAAAAATGTTTTTGAATAAAAAAGCTCTGCAGCTCCAGGATTTACTGATGGGAAGGAATATCAGCAAAAGTTGACTTGCCCCTACTTCCCCCATCTCCTTCGGTAAGCACCACAGGAATGTTACTAGGGATGTGAGGAATAGTCTGGCCTGTCACCTCCAAGAAGCAATTTTGACTTCAGCCTGGGAGCAAGAAAGAAGGCTTCAGAGGCCTATCAGTAGGACCCACATTTAGAGTGGAAAAGGATACTTTTTTAAAGAAAAAAGAAAAAGAAGCATGCCGTATGGAAAATCTATGTCTATTGGGCTAAATCCCTCTCTACCCTGTGCAGCCCAACCAGGAAACACACCTAGCCAGCCATTGATAGGAAGTATGCCTTGCCTGAATGCCTGAATCAAGTTTCATAGTTCTATCCCCTGGAATGTTCTAGAATGAAATATGATCTGGATCACAGATTTTATTTGACATCCATAAAATACATGTAAATAAAACCAGCTATACCGCATACACTTTAAAAATGGTTTCTTTTTCCCTCCTCATGCCGAACTGCCAAAATCTATGTCATGTAATTCAATAAATAGTCACCAGAGGGCAGCACCAGACAAGCAGACACCTACATGAGGCACAAAAAGACCAGTTAATACAGAAAAGATTCCTGATCTCTAGAGATTCTGAAAACAGAGCTACAGGGAGATTAAACAAAGTTGACAGGAGGTAAAAAAATGAATCGTCTTTGAAATACATATTACAATATATTGGCTTGGTGATTAAAACATTACAAGCTGCTTTGTTTTTCCAATAATCATCTGTAAGCTTTATTCACTGTATTACTCAGTGACTTACATGAATTAAGACTCATTCTTCTCCATTTAGATTAAAATGTCTGGGCGAAAAAAGAAGTATATCAGAGCAGGAAAATTATAGGTATTCTTTGTTATTCAACAGCATTCAAAGAACCCACAAGGGGCACTTATTAGAGTTGAAATGATCCTTTTTAACAAATGGCAAAAATAAAACACAAATGAATAAGCAAAATAGTTACATGGGAAATAAAGGATCGTCTACTGAAGCACCGTTATAAGAAAATGCCTCTTGCTGCAGAACACCAGCGATGTCTAATGTGGCTTCTGTGAAGGAAGCAATTTGTGTGATTCACTTTTCCAGGGCCTTCTATTTAGCTGTTTGAGATCACTGTAGCATTGTGTGCTGGCTTTCAGCTTCCTTTAGGGACCAAGAAAGAAAAAGCAGAGAGAACTTAATAAGACTGTAAGGTCTGGAAAGAATACCCTCCAAATGCCATTAGGAGTCCAAGGGAGAGGGAAGGGAGGAAGTGGCCTACAGTTTGGACCTGGCAGCAGACTCTGATCTCATGCTGGGGAGGAAGCATTGTGGCCGAGCAGGCCTTCCTCCTGCTGAGGAAGCAGGTCTCCCTTCGCAAGACCTGGAGTGGAGATGTGCACAGAGAGATGGGAGCAAGTCCATGTATGTGGTAAGGGACTGATTCCCAGGATACACAGCCTCACTCGCAGAACAGAGTTGGGTACCGAGTAGAACATGCACTACCTCAGATTTCTGCCAACCACATAACAAGGAAATAAAATAGAACCACCCAACGGAGAGAAAAATATTTTCAGTCTTCTCAAATCAGGTAGCAAGCTCAAGGTGATAAGTGTATTTGCAGTACTAAGTCTAGTTGAGCTTATTCGTATGACACAGTATAAACCCGGGCAACATTACACATACCACATTGATAGCAAAGCAAAGAAGTACAAGTTATGTATCATTCTGGATCTATATTTAAAAGTAGCAAGTGGAGAGATTAACATCCATTTACTCTAAAACTGAGGATTTGAGGTTGGAAAAAAAATCAAAAGTTATTGTACAGGAAGCCTGAATGAAATCTAAATCCTTCCATCAGTAAGGAACAGTCCAAGGGTAAGAGACAAACTATAAATGTCACAATAACATCATCACATGCAAACGATGAAAATACATTCACAATGTCCGCTCATTTCTGGTTCGACAAAATTGCACAGGAGAAAGCGTGCCTAATGAATGAAAGGCTTGGTGCCTGATTGGATTGACATGGCCATTAGGATAAGATAAATGGCAATAGAAAGCATTCCGAAGACATAAGAGAGAAAAATTCTAGCTAATGGTAGGTGCTGAAGAATAAAGCAGTTGATATAATCTGGAAATGTCACTTGGGGTGCAGGAAAGTAATCACCATGTAATCATGATGATGATGATGATGATGATGATGATGATATAGCATAAAACACTGTAGAGACTACCAGCTAACAACCAATCTACAAATTTAAGAATGATTATTGCGCTACAATGACAAATCTAGGAATGAGAAATAAAAGTCCCCTAAGGAGCCCTGGGATATAATTGGGACAATAGATGAATAAGTCTATCAAGAGAAGAATTTGTTAATGTTTGCTTTAACACAGGAATTCTTTTGTACTTAACTGATCCATTTAATAAAAAATAAGAAAAGTAAAAATTAAGAAAGTAAAAAGTAAAAAAAAGAAATAAAGACTGTCTATAAAAGAAGATATAAGCCAGGGCGCCTGGGTGGCTCAGTCAGTTAAGCGTCCGACTCGGTTTCGGCTCAGGTACTGGTCTCAAGGGTGGTGGGATTGAGCCCTGCATCTGGCTCCCCGCTTAGCAGGGAGACTGCTTGAAGATTCTCTCCCTCTGCCCCTCCCCCCACTTGCTCACCGTTCTCTCTCTCTCTCTAATAAATAAATATATCTTTTAAAAAAAGGCATAAACCAGGGGGCCTGGATGACTCATTCCATTGAGCAGGGTACTCTTGATTTCAGCTCAGGTCAGGATCTCAGTGTCATGAGATCAAGCCCTCCATGAGATTCTCTCCCTCTCCCTCTCCCTCTGCCCCT